TATGATTGTTGCAATTTCTCCACATCCATGTCAACATTTTTTATTGTATGTCTTTTTGACTGTAGCCATCCAAGTAGGTACTAAGTGGTATCTCATTATTTTGACAAGCATTTCTCTTAAAGCCAGTGATGTTTAGCAACACTTGTGCTTATTGGACATTTGTATATTTTTGGAGAATTGTTTATACTAAATCATTGTTCTTTTTTAAACCCTTGTTCATTTTTTAATTGAATATCTTTTTATTAGTGAGTTATAAATGTTCTTTATATATTCTAGATGAAAATTTCTTATCATATATGATTTTTTCCTCTTCTGTGGGTTGCCTTTTAACTTTCTTGATGGTGTTCTTGGTAGTATAGAAGTTGTAAATTTTGATGAAATTCAATTTATCTGTTTTTCTTTTGTTGCTTGTGCTTTTGTTGTCATATCTAAAAACAATGGCCTAATCCAAAGTCTTAAAGATTTATTCCTATATTGTCTTCTAAGAGTTTTATAGATTCATCTCTAACATCTAGATCTATAATCTATTGTTAGTTAATTTTTATGTATGGTGGACTAGAGATCAACTTCATCCTTTTGCATATTGATATTCAGTTATCACATCATTTTTTGAGGAGAATATTGTTTCTCTATGGAATTGTCTTGGAACCCTTATCAAAAAAATCAGCTGTACATAAATATTAAGGCTCTATCTAGACTGTCAATTCTGTTCTATTGGTTTGTATGTGTATTATTATGCCAATGCTACAATATCTTCTTTACCACAGCTTCATAATAAATTTTGAAAATCAGGAAATGCAGTCCTTCCATGTGTGTTCTTATTTTTCAGGGCTGTTTTGCCTATTCTGGTTCCCTTGGATTTTCATACAAATTTGAGGTCAATATACCAATTTTTGCAAAGAAATCTGCTAGGATTTTGACAAGATTGCTCTAAGCTGTAGGTCAATTTGAAGAATATCGTTATCCTAGTAATAAGTCTTCTAACTCATAATCGTGGGTCATGGGCTGTCTTTCAATTTATTTAGGTTTTCTTTAGTTTCTTTCATCATTGTTCTATTTTCAGAACATATGTTTCACACATTTTTGGCAAATAAAGTCTAATTTGTATTTTGATTCTCTTATTAAATAGAATTATTTTCTTGATTTCATTTTTGTTTTATATGTTGTGTGTAGAAATACAGTTGATTGTTGTGTATTGATCTTATGCCCTATAAACTGGTTATAGTCACTATTAGTGCTGTATTGGTCAGGGTTCTCCTTGGAAACAGAATGAACATATACATATTCTTGCTCTCACCTTTTTTGTGCTATTCAGGTCTTCAATGGGTTTGTTCATGTCCACTCAGTTGAGTGACGATTAGGGAGAGCAGTTTACAGAGTTTACCAATATAAATCCTAATCTCATATGGAAATGCCTTCACAGTGTTTATATGGAAATCCTAATCTCATATGGAATGCCTTCACCCCAAATTAATGTTTAATGTGGGCATCCCATAACAAAGTCAGATTGACACAAAATTAAGCATCACATTGCTAATAATTCTTTAGTGGAATTTAGGATTTTCTATTTACGTGATCACTTCATCTACAAGTAGAAATAGTTTTACTTCTTACTTTCCAATCTGAATAGCTTTTACTTCCTTTACTTGCCAAATTGTTTGATAAAACCTCTGTTACTGTGCTGGATAGAAGCACATCCTTGTATTGTTCCTAATCCTAAGAAGAAAGCTTTCAGTTTTCAGCATAAAGAGAGATGTTAGCTATGGTGTTTAAATAGATATCCTTTATTCACCTCTAAAGTGAATTAGTGGCTTTCTCTTTAAGGTCTGTTGTGAGTTTTTATCATGAGGAATATTGGATTTTGTCAAATGCTTTTTCTGCATTTTTGGAGATGATTGTGTGATTTTTGTCCTTTATTCTATTGATGCAGTGTATTATATTAATCGATTTGGGAAGTGATAAACCAACCCTGCGTTCCTGAGATATATTCCATGTATATATTTCGGAACCATTTGTGAAGAATTGGTATGAATTGTTAAATATTTTGTGAGTTTAGCATTTAAGCCCTGTCAGCCTCAAATGCTCTTTGAATCACCTTTACCATCTTAATGATTCCTTATTTATTGAGTGAAGTAAAATTTTTGAGACATGTACCTTCTGAATGTGTAAGGGTATCCTGTGTTAACTTTTGAAAATTATACTTTGTTGGGATAGTGTTTTACTATTAGCCTCTATCAGTGACACCAGCAAAGGCTTTCACAAAGACAGTGTTAAATACGACCAAATTGGAGGAAGAAACAGATTAATCTCTTGAGTTAAGACAAAAAGACTCTCACCTTATAACAACTTTTCACTGAATTGATGGAAACATAAAAACTAAGGGAAATATTTTTAAAAGTCATCTAATAAATTATAAAGCATAATTAGTGAGCTAGCTACATGCCCTTCAGTTTATACTGAAAACAGCTTTTTGTGTTTTACATAAAGATGCATACTATATCTGAAAAATAATACTGCAACTAAATTTTATAATCTATTAGGTAATCACCAGTATTCTTTAGTATTAGAGTATGTCTTGGTCCTTAGGAATATGTGGCCATATATATGACTTTGAATCCTGCCTCTGTCAATTTATATGATCTATGATCCTTTGGCATATTATGTACCCTTCCTACCTCAGTTTCCTTATTTATAATTTGAATTTTTTTACACATTATTATTATGTATTCAGAAAAAGTGTATTGAAGAACACTTTTTATGTGTTAGACATTGCTGTTGGTTGCTAAGGAGACACATTGAATAAGACAAATACTGTTAAACTGCCATGAACACTATTAAAACCATGCATTAAGACCTATTTTTAAATGTTTTATTTAGTTATGGAATGTCAGTTTTATTCTTTTTAAATAGATCACAGTATTCTGGTTATATTTTTACTTGTTTCTTCTATTTTGTTTGTCTATTCTTTGTCTGAATTTTCATCAAGATTATTTTAAAGTCTTTTTCCTCAAACTCCAGTTTCTGTATCAGATGTGTGGGTCTGCTTGATTGATTTATTTTTACACTGATTATCAGGTATTTAATCCTGTCTCATCTCATGCTTAGAAATTTTTGATTGAGTGTTGGACACTGTATATAAGATGATTGATGATAAAGATTAAATAAAGGCCTGGCAACTTGCTGGTAATGTACTGAGGAGTCAAGAAATAGTTAAGGTTATTCTTGTTGTTTATTATCATCAGTATTTTATAGCCTCTAGGAATTTATATTTATGACGAAGGTTGGACATGGAAGCGATGTGTGTGTTTTCAAAGACTTTCAAAAATATTTTAAATAAAGCAAAAGGAGAAATAAACACATTAGCTCCATGTAGTTAAATGCATTATACCATATCTTCTTTTAAACCATATTTTTACAGAAGTTTTATATTTACAGAAAAGTTGTGAAGATAGATAGTACAGAGAATTCCCATATGGACCTGCCTATTATTTTCTCGATTATTAATATCTGATATTAGGATAGCACATTTCTTACAATTAATGAAACATTATTTATATGTTATTGCTATCTAAAGTCTATGCTTTTTTTGGATTTCCTTAGTTTTTACCTAGTGCCTTTTTGGGAGGGATCCTGGGCCCTGTCCAGAATACATACATATGACAATTAGTTGTCATGTTTCCTTAGGGTTATCTTGAGTTTTATATTTTCTTAAAATTATCCTTATTTTTTTTTTTAATTTTTTAATGTTTATTTATTTTAGAGACAGAGACAGAGCATGAACGGGGGGAGGGACAGAGAGAGAGGGAGACAGAGTCTTAAGCAGGCTCCAGGCTCTGAGCTGTCAGCACAGAGCCCGATGTGGGGCTCGAACTCACCTTGAGATGATGACCTGAGCCAAAGTCAGAAGCTCAACCGACTGAGCCACCCTGGTGCCCCCAAATTATCCTTATTTTTGACGTACTTGACAATTTTGAGGAATACTGGTCAGGTCCAATTCTTACTTTTGATTAGAGAAAAAAATACTTCCAAAATATTCAATTATTCATTCTTAGTAACTAATGCTATAGTTGTACAATTTATGAAAAGTTGTGTTCTAAAAACTCTTGATAAAATGAATAGGGTTCTGAGTTATTCTATAATAGTCAAATGTGTGGAAGGGAGTAATGAGAGATGGTCATGTCAAGGTCTGGTCCAGGAGTGCCTGTATAATGAGTTTTATCTGCATCTTTGGTTAATAGTATGTAATTAAAGGATGATAGTCAATATAGAGAGTCATAACACAGAGTCTCTCTGGACAAGCCAGATGAAAGAGTGAAAGAGGGCTTAGATGCTTTTAATTTAGTTAAATTGAGGATAAGGTTTTTGTTTCTTTGTTTTTTAAAGTTTTAAGATTTAGGCTTTAAGTTTGTTCAAACAATCTACCAAACTTACCTTTGTTAAACATGTAAAGAATAATTCTTGTCAGAGTAGGACTAAGTGCCTTGTGAAAGAAAACTATTTACAGAACATTTATTTATTTTTAAAAAATGGTTATTTATTTATTTTGAGGAGTGAGAGAAGAGACAGATGGGGGGTGGCAGAGAGATGGGAAGAGAATTGCAAGCAGACTCTGAAATATTAGAGCTCCCCACATGCCCCACAGGGTGTGACCTGACGAGTTGTGAGATCATGACCTGAACCAAAATCAAGAGTCCAGTGCTTAACTGACTGAACCACCTTAGGTATCCCTACAGAACATTTATAATTTAAATTTCAGTTTTCAAAAATTGATTAATTTTGCATTTATTAATACACCATATATTGAATGCTCCCATATGTTAGGTACTCTACTAGTGATTACCTGATATTTCTTCATGGTATAGAGTATTGGAACCTCTGTATCTTATATATGTCTTAATCTTCACTTCAATTACCTAATAAAAATTAGGTCATATTTCCAAGGTGTTTAATGTGCACTGTTAAATAATTAAATTAAATTTTATTTTATTTTATTTTTGTAGAACTATTATGGAGCTGCTAAGATGATTTTTTCTGACAACCCACTTGGTCTGACCTGTGGAATGGTATGTCCAACCTCTGACCTTTGTGTGGGTGGATGCAATTTATATGCCACTGAAGAGGGACCAATTAATATAGGTGGATTGCAGCAGTTTGCCACTGAGGTATGTATGCTGTACATATTGTTTTCCTTTTCACCCACCCCTAAAGCACAGAAATCTTAAAATAACTTTAATCCTTGGTGCTTTATTTATATCCAATATTTGTTTTAATATGAAATTTATTGTCAAATTGGTTTCCATACAACACCCAGTGCTCATCCCAACAGGTGCCCTCCTCAATACCCATCACCCACCCACCCCTCCCTCCCACTCCCCATCAACCCTCAGTTTGTTCTCAGTTTTCAAGAGTCTCTTATAGTTTGGCTCCCTCCCTCTCTAACATTTTTTGTTCCTTCCCATCCCCCAAGGTCTTCTGTTAAGTTTCTCAGGATCCACATAAGAGTGAAAACATATGGTATCTGTCTTTCTCTGTATGACTTATTTCCTTAAGCATGTAACACTCTCCATCCACATTGCTACAAAAGGCCATATTTCATTCTTTCTCGACTGCCATAATTGCATTGTATATATGTAAACCACTTTCTTATCCATTTGGTTGATGGACATTTAGGCTCTTTCCATGGTGGCTATTGTTGAGAGTGCTGCTATAAACATTGGGATACAAGTGCCCCTATCATCAACCTTTGCTCCTGTCCATGGGTCGAATTCCTAGCAGTGCTATGCTTTGGGTCATAGGGTGGAGTCTATTTCTAGTGTGAGAACCTCCACTGTTTTCCAGAGTGGCTGCACCAGTTGCATTCCTAACAGTGCCAAGAAGAAGTTTCCCGTTTCTCCACATCCTCTCCAGCATCTATAGTCTTCTGATTTGTTCATTTTTGGCCCTCTGACTGGCATTGGTGATATCTGAGTGTATTATTACTGATTTGTATTTCCCCTGATGGTGAGCATCTTTTCGTGCCTGTTAGCCCATCTGGATGTCTTCTTTAGAAGTGTCTATTCATGTTTTCTGCCCATTTCTTCACTGGATTATTTGTTTTTCCAGTGTGGAGTTTGGTGAGTTCTTTATAGGTTTGGATACTAGCCCTTGTCTGATATGTCATTTTGCAAATATCTTTTTCCCATTCCGTTGGTTGCTACTGTTGATTGTTTCTTTGCAGTGCAGAAAGTTTTTATCTTCACTTGAAGTCCCATGCATTTTTGCTTTCATTCCTTGCAGGGGATGTCAAGTAAGAAATTGCTTTCTTGTGGCTGAGGAGTCAATTCCCTGCTTTCTAGGAGTTTTGATGGTTATATGTCTCACATTTCGGTCCTTTATCCATTTTGGGTTTGTTTTTTGTGAATGGTGTAAGAAAGTGGTCTAGTCATCCTTCTGCATATTTGGCTGTCCAGTTCTCCCAGCACCATTTGTTAAAGACTGTCTTTATCCGGTGGATATTCTTTCCTGCTTTGTCCAAGATGGGGTGGCCATACTTTTTTATTGGGTCTAGTTCTAGGGTTCTATTCTTTTTTTTTTTTTTTTTTTTTTATATATGGGAAATTTATTGACTGGTTTCATACAACACCCAGTGCTCATCCAAAGGTGCCCTCAGTGCCATCACCCACCCTCTCCTCCTCTTTCCCCCATCAACCCTTAGTTTTGTTCTCAGTTTAACAGTCTCTTATGCTTTGTGGCTCTCTCCCCACTCTAACCTCTTTTTTTTTTTTTTTTTGTTGCCCCTCCCCATATGGGTTTCTCTTAAGTTTCTCAGGATCCACAGAGTGAAACCATATATGGTATCCTGTCTTCTCTCTGTGGCTTATTTCACTTAGCATCACACTCTCAGTTCCCATCCACGTTGCTACAAAAGGCCCAGATTTCGGTTTTTCCTGTTTGTTGCTGCGTGGTGTTATACGACATTTATTATTATAAACCACAATTTCTTTATCCACGTCATTCATCAGTTGATGGACATTTAGGCTCTTTCCATAATTTGGCTTGGCTTCTTGTTGAGAGTGCTGCTATGAACATTGGGAACAAATTTCCCTATCGTCAGTACTCCTATCCTTGGATAAATTCACAACGGTGCTATTGCTGGGTCATAGGGTAAGTCTATTTTAATTTTTTTCCTGAGGAACCTCCACACTGCTGCTTTCAGGCGGCTGCACAATTTACATTCCCACCACCAACAGTGCAAGAGGGTTCTCCACATCCTCTCCAGCATCTATAGTCTCCTGATTTGTTCATTTTTGGCCTCTGACTGGGCGTGAGGTACGATATCTGAGTGTGGTTTTTGATTTATTATTTCCCTGATAAGGAAGCGGCGCTGAACATCTTTCATGTGCCTGTTGGCCATCCGGATGTCTTCTTTAAATCTATTATTCATGTTTTCTGCCGTGTACTGGAGTTTATTTGCCTTTTGGTGTGGGTTTGGTGAGCTCTTTCGATTTTGGATACTAGCCCTTTGTCCGATATGTCATTTGCCTTATCTTTCCCATTCCGTTGGTTGCCTTTTAGTTTTGTTAGTTGTTTCCTTTGCTGTGCAGAAGCTTTTGATCTTCATAAGGTCCCAGTAGTCGCACTTTTTGCTTTTAATTCCCTTGCCTTTGGGGATGTGTTGAGTAAGAATTGCCTTTCTGGCTGAAGTCAGAGAGAGGTCTTTTCCTGCTTTCTCCTCTAAAGGTTTTTGATGGTTTCTGTCTCACATTCAGGTCCTTTGTATCCATTTGAGTTTATTTGAATGGTGTGCAGTGGTCTAGTTTCAGCCTTCTGTGTTGCTGTCCCTGCTCCCAGCAGCACCATTTGTTAAAGAGACTGTCTTTTATCCGATTGGATATTCTTTCTGCTTTGTCAATGGGGTGGCCATGCTTTGTGGGTCTGGTTCTGAGGGTTTCCTTCTATTCCACTGGTCTATGTGTCTGTTTTTGTGCCAATACCATACTGTGTTGATGATTACAGCTTTGTAGTAGAGGCTACAGTGTGAGATTGTGATGCCTCCTGCTTTGGTCTTCTTCTTCGAAATTACTTTGGGGTCCTTTTTTGGTTTCCGCGCATATACAATTGCTTAAGTTGCTTGTTCTAGCTTCGAGAAGAATGCTGGTGCAATTTTGATTGAGATTGCATTGAATGTGTAGGTAGCTTTGGGTAGTATTGACATTAAAAAAAATTTTTTTTTCAATGTTTATTTATTTTTTTTGGGACAGAGAGAGACAGAGCATGAACGGGGGAGGGTCAGAGAGAGAGGGAGACACAGAATCGGAAACAGGCTCCAGGCTCCGAGCCATCAGCCCAGAGCCTGACGCGGGGCTCGAACTCACGGACCGCGAGATCGTGACCTGGCTGAAGTCGGACGCTTAACGGACTGCGCCACCCAGGCGCCCCCTGGGTAGTATTGACATTTTAACAATATTTATTCTTCCAATCCATGAGCACAGAATGTTTTTCCATTTCTTTATATCTTCTTCAATTTTCATCATAAGCTTTCTGTAGTTTTCAGCCTACAGATCTGTTACATCTTCGGTTAGGTTTATTCCTAGGTATTTTATGCTTCTTGGTGCAATTGTGAAGGGGATCAGTTTCTTTATTTGTCTTTCTGTTGCTTCATTATTAGTGTATAAGAACGCAACATTTTTAATGTGATACACAGCTAAAGTGTGTTTTATACCATAAATAATATTGTTATTCAACAATGACTACATAAATTAAACTTCATAAAACCATATGTCAAATTAATTATAATCCCAGAAGGTTATTAAAATACTCTGACTGAAAGTTATATAAACAAGAGGATCTGAAAGTAAAATTTATTCATTAACTTTACTGTGTAATGTGGCAGGGACACCCCATTATAAAAAGGCTATTTTGCCTGACTTTTTTTCCTGAAACTCTCTTGAATCCTTATAGCTTGAAATAATATGTCAGTATTATTTTGTGATTTTTTTTTAGTAATAGAGGTTGGGGAATTTTCAAAAACCCTGACACAATAATATTCTTTAAAATTAAATTTTATAGACTTTTAGAATAGAATCAGGTGTGTTATTTGGATACTAATTTATATGGAAATAAAATGAAAGTATTTTTCACCATCACGCAAGTTTGAGTCCTAGCTTTCCCTTTTATGAATCCTTTGAAAACAACTGATTCTCTGGGATACCTTATGCTTTCTGGTGTCTTCCGTTTGGAGTCATTTTCCATGTATCATTTAAATGACCAATTTACATCAAGGGTACAGTAAGATTGTATAATCCTTGTGGTCCATTAGCTAGAAGGCCAAATTAAATGCCTTCAACACTAGATTGTTAGTTAATGACTTTCCTATCTGGTTTTGTCAATTTCAACACAACATATTCTCTTTTTTGGACCCTTCACATAATATCTTTCCAGCTTAAGTCTCACTTTGCATTTAGTAATAAATCAAGATTACTCCTTCTCTCCTTTCTGACAAGTCAATTCTAATCAAGGGCTCTTGGGAATGAGAAAATAGAAACAGTTTGTTGTGAGTTGTTGCAATAAATTATTGGACTTAATTTCTTTTCTTACCAAATTCAAAATTGTATTAGGCTTATCTTACCATTGTGTGGTATGATCTTTACAACGGAAGAAAATCCTTAGTTGACGGAGAAGATTAACTTGAATTCATCTACATCTTTCTTTGAGGACTCATTGTTTCTTCATTATAGCAGGACAAGCTTGCAAGGATGTCATAAGTGAAAAGTCACTCAGTATGTACATGAACTAACACTGCATTTCAAAACAAAATGTGTTAAAATAATATGGTTACTTTGTTGGTGACCTGGATGATAGAGAGACAGCATTCCTCTGAGAACTCTCACTTGTTTTTTTCCATTGAGGTATAATTGACATGCATTATTATAAGAGTTTCAGGTGTACAACATAGTGATTCAACATTTTTATACATTGTGAAATGATAATTACAGTAAATCTATTACCATCTGTCACCATACAAAGTTAATGCAATGTTATTGACTATATTCCCCATACTATACATCACTTCCCATGACTTACTTATTTTATAACTGGAAGTTTGTACTTCTTGATCCCCTTCACCTATTTCTTGCTCTCAGCACCAGTTTGCTCTGGTAACCACCAATCTCTTTTCTGTATC